TATTCAAAATCGAGCCTCCCTTGACTCAAATTGCCATATACTGTCTTCTTCAGAATATATCTTTACCACCCATAACTGAGTTTTGATATCGCGATAAAATTGGACTTAAACATATTTTTATACCCATCACCTCCATCAGTGAAGGTAGATGGTATATTTATTTATATTCTGCGTCCTTATGAAATTCTGCGTCCATTTAATTATGTCCGTCTGTGTGTGTAAAACACAGCAATGGAAATAAATGAAATTAAATATTTATTATTACCGGTACCATTAGGTACCGGTTCACAACGTAAAAAGTTATGAGTTAAAATTTCAGACTATAAAATCGTAATAATCGGTAAAAAATTTCGCATAGCTACCAAACAAAAGTAAATATTCTCGGAAATGGATTTAAACGGAATATGAAAATAGATCTGTATCGTACCACAAATGATCATAGCTCATATATAAGGTCGCATTAACCATATCTCTCATATAAGGTCCTCTTCAGTTAATTTGATGAGTAATATCACCCTGATGTTTATAGGGGAGTATTCCTTTTAAGGCATACGGTTTACACTATCGATTTACGATAAACGTACGATTAAAGTTATCGAGATATATGTTTTGTGTATATGTATACAAATAATTCTCCGTACTTTTCTGTATCAGTCCATAATTGGTCATATCTTCCATAATTGAACATATCTCCGATAAAAGGTCCTTAAATTTGTTATGGACTTGATCAAAATTAGTTCCATATATGTTCCATAAAGAAATTCTTAAATGATGATTTCTAAACTTTCACAAATTATTAAATACTTATCTGAAAATATTTAGATGGGTTTTTATAAAAACTATCTTAGAGGTGGAGGGTATTTAAAAGGAAGTTAACGAGGTTAAAGGAGATTTAAAGTATTTGCGAGTGTCGGTTCGTTGTTGGCTCTGGAGCCTATATTTTTGTCTATTTGATGGATTACGATTCGTCAATATATAAATGTGTGAGTTAATAAAACTGTAAACTAAGTTAATAAAACTGTAAGATGTAATTGATGAAAAAAGTTAAATTTTTATACCCTGCACCACTTTAGTGGGGAGGGTATATTGGGTTATTGCTGATGTTTGTAACGCACAATAATATTCCTATACCCACCTTAAAGTATACCAATCGGCTTAGAATAATTTTCTGAGTCGATTTAGCTATGTCCGTCCGTCTGTCCGTCCATGTAAACCTTGTAATCAAACTACAGGTCGCAATTTTGAAGATAATTCAATGAAATTTGGTACATAATCTTCTATTGTCCCAGGGACGAAGCCTATTGAAAATGGTTAAGATCGGTATATTATTTCACCCCTGAATAGGGCTTGTAAACCTTGTAATCAAACTACAGATCGCAATTTTGATGATAATTCAATGAAATTTATCACATGATCTTCTATAGTACCGGAGATAAAGCCTATTGAAAATGGTTAACATCGGTCCATTATTTCACCTAGCCCCATACATCTGAACCCCTGAATAGGGCTTGTAAACGTTGTAATCAAACTACAGGTCGGAATTTTGATGATAATTCAATGAAATTTGGCACATGATCTTCTATGGCACTGGAGACAAAGCCTATTGAAAATGGCTAACATCGGTCCATTATTTCACCTAGCCCCCAACCCTACGAATAGGGCTTTTAAATTCATAATTATGTTTAATATACTCGTATCTCAACAAAAAGCTGCAAAACCAAGTGCTATACTAGCCTTGATGACTCTCATGAATTTTATAATTATAGGGTCTTATTTGACCATAGCACCTATACAAAACCCCTTCAAAATTTGACTTAAATGTCCACAATTTTATTAAACAATAAATGGCTTAAATATATCTGAGGCAAGGTACAATTCAACTTAAATGCTTTATTATGAAAACAAAATCACATTTCATTTATGTAACAGGTGTAGGGTATTATATGGTCGGCTTCGCCCGACTATAATTTCTTACTTGTTTCTTATTAACTTTACATATTTATGTACTAATTCTTACATGTAAGTATGTATTCGTAAAGGTACAAAAACTCCCACTATTTCAACTAAATTATACTTTTTTTTTTTGAATTTAATGCAAAAGCGATTGAACGATTGAATATAAATCGTTTTTCAATTAGTTTCATTGTAAATGATACATTTACAAAAGTTGTTAGTGAAAAAATGCAAACTTTTATAATTATGTACATTTCTACTATAGATAATCTTATAGTAGAAATGAACTGAAAATGTATTTAACAAGTTTAAAATTGCCAAAGTTCAATTGTTAACTGTTAACAATTTGTTTTAATGCGTGAAGAAATGCAGCTGATTGTAATTTTCACTTTTAGTCGTAAATTAGTAAATTTTTACAATCGTAATGAATACAAAAGGAATATGGTTTAATGTCATTAGGGTAGCGGCGTAAGATTAAACATTTAATATTAAGTTATCTCTCTTTATCTAATTGTTAAAAGATATTTAGATTAGGTTATGTTGAAATGAAGATGTATGTATATTACTGCACCATACATCTTAAATGCTTTAAAATAAATTGATGTCCAATTTTCAGAAACTTATATTCCTGGACGTAGCTCCTTACAATTTTCTAATCAGTTTTCTTGAAGGATGAAACAATGATGAAGTGTTCTGTCTTTTACTGTCCTCTCCGCAGGCCCTACCTTCGTCCGAAATCGTACGTGAAATTATGTATAGATGTAATTGTAAACCCTTGTGTCCATTAAGGATAAGTACCATCATACTAACCTTGGACTTATTCGTTCTGAGAAGGCTTTTCGTCTTACTCTTTGAATAGTTTCAGATGTTTAAGTTATAAGTAAAATTTATATCTTTCGTTTAAATAAAAATGTATGTATGTTTGCTTCGGTACTTAAAAAAATAATAACGATGGCAATTGAGAAAAGAAAAATGTTAAAATGAATGCACTCTATAAAATACAGTGGTTAGAAAAGATCTATTACTAATACAAGTAAGAAAATATAGTCTGTCATGCCCGATCATATGATCGATTACTACCGATAATATATTTATGATATTTATTGACAACAAACCGATTTTCTAAAAGGTACTTTCTTGGAGGCTGGACCTAATGATGGGTGCTGCAGTAAGATTTGTACTTTTACAGAACCTACCCTTAGTCAATTTTAGTAAAGAGTTCCAAAACCATATTATAGGGTTCTCGTTGTATAAGGGCTAGGTGAAATAATGGACCGTTTTAAATGAAAATCAATAGGTTTTGTCCTTGGGCTTGTACCAAATTTCATCGAATTATCTTCAAACCTGTACTATTATTACAAGATTTACATGGACAGACGAAGTACAGACGAACGGGCATATCTAAATCGACTACCATTAAATCACCAGAACTGTAATTAGATAGAAGGAAATTTTTAATGTCTTTCCTGACCAAACACAGCTTCTTACTTTATCTTCAGGTGTTGGAGAAAGGAGTACACAGTTTCGTGACCACACACCTCGAACTATACTGGCTACAAGCCAGATTCGGAGGGATTCTGAATCAATTTTGATGAAGAGATCCTTACCTTCTCTCTATCCCTCATGCGTCCTCATTCAATCATCCAGTGCTCTGTGCCAAGTTTCTTATTCTAATGCTTATTAAGTGTTAGTATGGCTTTGTCCTCCAGAATAGGATTAGGAACACACACTCACATCGTCGTACGAAAAGGTATTTGATACAGTGGGATAATTTTGATCTTTGCGTTAGGCCAGAGTTCGCCAACTCCTCGGATGCATTTCTTTGAGAAAGCCTGGAACTTTTTCGGTAGTGGTTTCCCATCGGGTTGACTATGATCTGCTCATGTTAAGCTAGTTGATGGTCTCAATCCCTGAGCACCTGCGTTTTACTTGACCTTTGCCGCTTAATACTAGGTCTGCTTGCTGAACCTTTAGTAGCCATCGCGGTACCTCGAGTATCTAAAATTGCGGACGGCTCCTTGGGTGTTGCGCTAGCAGACTTCGTCATGCCGCATCGGTCATCACCTCGGATGGATTCGTGTTCGGTCCAGTTTGTACTTCTACCATAGGTGTGAAAAGACACTACAGATCCTCCGAAGTCAGACGCAGACCAGGATGCTGGTCAATATGAGTCAGATGCATCCTGGATTTTGGTTTTTATCAAAAACTTTCGAACTGATAGACCAGGTTGTACTTTTCCAGCCACCCTTAACATGGGGAGACAGACCCTGGAAGGTACGGTTATGTTACCTATGTAACCCAAACCACAACGACATTGTAAAATAAAGAGAGAGGGATTTGTTAGCCGCCCTAACTAAGGAAACAGAAACTACCAAATTGAGATCGTTATCGCTAGGCGACCGAAGATGGTCACTTACTCCACAGGTATAATTAATCATGGTTCAGTAAGATTTTGGAAAATTGGCCAAATTGTCAACTTTACTTTTATCAAATTAACAAATTTATGTTAGTTTTCGCTTTTAACTACAAACATTTTTTAACAAAAAATCTTAACAAACCACTGTATTACTTTTAAATTCAGTGCCATATTTTTCCATATAAATATTCATATGTTAAAATTTAAAGAACCAATATGGTGAGTACTGATATCTGTATTACATTGATAAAGTAAAAAGTAGTTTGATTAAAAATAAAAAAATCATTTATTAATGGTTTGGTAAAGTCTACAGTTTTTACAAGTAAGTAAAATTTAAATCAAGCTAAATATTGCTTTATATTTTTCAAATTTGGAATCTAAGTTTAATTTTCAATAATTTAAATTATACAATTTTTGATCTACCGAATGTTTAACAAATCAAAACTTTTATAAAAAAAGGTTTCGCCCAATTGTTTAAAAGTTCTAAGAACGTACTAATGTTTGCCAGAATTTAAAACAAAGAAATAAATCCAACTCGCAAATTCACTTTCAAAATCGATTTTTATTGCTATTGCATTTTAAAAACATTAAAATATACTTTTTATTATCAACTGTTTAGAAATTCATAAAAATGTCACTTAACGCCAAAGCTAAAGTGGAAACATGGCAGGCATTTAAAAACCACTGGATTTTATGGAAATTTTTCGGTTTACAGCCACCAAAACGTGACTCTAAATGGTTTATACCATATATTGCGTATGCGATAGTCCTCAATGTGACCGTTACATTGTTGTTTCCCACAACGCTCATTGTCAATTTGATACTTTCGAAAAACTTAACGGAATTATGTGAAAATCTTTATATGACAACAACGGATGTGATTTGCAATATAAAATTTTTAAATATATTCGTGGTGAGACATAAACTGCTAAAGGTGCGTAAAATTTTACAGCGTTTAGATGTCAGAGCTAAAACACACAAAGAAGTGGCCATATTAGAGGAGGGCATTAAATTGGCTAGAAAATGTTTTATGACTTTTGCACGTTTATTTTGCTGTGCCATAATCAGCAGTCAAATGATGGTTTATCTTTCAAGCGAAAGAATACTAATGTATCCGGCTTGGTATCCTTGGGATTGGAGGGCATCAAAGAAAAACTATCTCTACGCTTTCTCATATCAACTGTATGGATTAATTTTACAAGCAATACAAAATCTTGGCAACGACACGTATCCACCGGCCTACTTAATCATACTTACCGCTCAAATTAAAGCATTAGCCTCACGCATCAAGGACTTGGGTACTAATGAGAACACATCCGAAGAAGAGTTGTATAAAGAATTAACGGATTGCATTAATGATCATAATACCATAAATGAGTAAGAAAATAAATATAATATTCCGTATTCACCTTGGAAATTTGTGTTTAATTATTGTGTATTTTCTTTATAATTTTCAGACTCTTTCTCACTATTCAGGAAGTTATTTCCACAACTTGCATTGCACAATTTGCAGCCACCGGTTTGGCTCAATGTACCATTGGGGTCTATATGATTTACGTCGGCCTACATCCTTCTAAAACTCTCAACATTGTTATTTATTTCAGTGCCGTTACAATGGAAATATTTATTTTATGTTATTATGGTGACTTGTATTGTCAGGCTAATGTCCATTTAACCGAGTCCATATACACTTGTAACTGGATGGATCGTGATAAGAAATTTAAACAGGCATTTTTGGTACTATTGCAAAGTTCGCAGAAAACAAACTGTATAATGGCGGGAAATTTAATTCCGGTGCGAATGCCAACATTTGTAAAGGTTAGTTGGACACAATTTATATGTATTAAATCAGTGGTAATAGGTAAACTTTGTAAGGATCGGTTCGTAAGATATGTAATATGCGGTTCTAGAGAGAAATTTCAATTTAACACATCAATGTTTAGAATTTGATTAGTCAAAACATAATGCGTAAATATATCCGTTAAGGGCATGACACGAACTTACGGTCTAAGACCACCTTCAGCGTCAACAATACGCTCGGCGAAACTGAACAGTTATCATTACATAGCGAGACGATATAATAATTTTGCCGATCTACTTTTCCTTTGTGATTTTTCAACTCGGAACTGCTTATCTTTCACTTAAAGACTCCCACTGTGGAATCTTACAATACCTCTAGTCTGCCGGGACTATAAACTGATGATGATCAAATGTATCCTCTGCCTCTCCTTGGAATGATTTGACATATGGTCGAACCAGAGAACCACACTATCTGGTATCACGGAAACCAGTTGCCCGCAGGCCAGAGTTTCAGACTTTGTCTTGTCCCGATTATTGGAGAGGTGTACGTGGTGGCTGTGGTTTAAGTCCAAATTCGCGAGAAAAGAATGTCGGCTAAACGACTGATACACGGTAAAGTCTACAATTCAGGATAAGTTCGGTGCTGTTGCCGAGAAAACAGATACCCCGCAGATGAGTGGCTGTAGGACTAAGCGTCAAAAATGAGCTGGTATATGATACGGGATAGATGTAGGGATATGCGGACTCTATCCACCCGTCTAACTAGAGAGAGTGTGTCGAATGTTGTACTCTTACTACTTGCTATATGTTTTAGATCATCACATCCGAATGATTTGCTCTTTGGCTCTGCTGTTGATATGCGACTTGGGAATTCGTATTTACAGAGTTGGCTTTTTCAGTCCTATGAACGCTGTTTACTTCCCCACCTAGCTTTATGAGTTCTGGCCTAGTTGTAGAGTTTCTTAGAAAATCCTCGTATATGATTTCGCCATTTTTAGATATCGTGATAATTTTTTATTTAGGTCTACAGATTTGTTTTCTTTTTCTCCTTACTTTCTTTTTTGGGGAATATTTTAAAGGACGTTCGTTTATTTCGCGATAAAGTTCCGTGTTCGGAATGTGTAGATGTAGGGTATCAACTTTGAACACATAGGATCCAAAGTAGTCAGCTCTTAGATAAAATATTTTCTCTATAATTTATTAAATTCAATTTCAATTTTAATTTCAGGTTATGAAAACTGCATATTCGGTGTTTACAGTTCTCAATAAAGTCGAGTAAACTTAAAATGAATTAAAGCAAATTTGAATGCCATGTTCGGCCACGCCGAATCTTAAATACCCTCCACCTGTAAGCGACATTTTATAAAAGCCTATCTAAATAACTAAAGGTAGGATTTTATAATATCGATCATTTGTTTCTCGTTACTGGAATATAAGCTGACGGAAAGATCTCCTTATGCTTGATCGATATCCTCATATATTAATGAAATGTGTGAGATTAAGAGACTTTCGGAAGTGGACCTTATATGAGAGATATATTGATTTGTATGTACACAAAATAAACTCATGTCGAATTTTATGCCGATATCTTTACTTAGTAATGAGGTTTAAGGAAGAGGTTATCGGAAATCCAAATCTCAGTATTTTTGTATCACATTTGCGATTCGGCATATTGTGCTCTGAAGTTTGAAAAAACGTAACTTTTGGCATTTTTTGAGACGTTTAAACAGCGATAAAACAACTTTATTTATGAAATGTTTTATGCCATCTGAAATTTCTTTCTGTCAGCTTGGTTTCAGGGTTTCAACTTTTTTCATATTTTGTCGGCCTATGTATGTACATATATATATACACAAAACGTATTTATGTCGACTTTTGTTCAAAAAATATTTATTTCTCAATTAGTTATTTACATTTAAGTGATTTTCGGAAGTGGACCTTATATGGGTGTTATGACCAATTATGGACCAATATTAGTAATATGATTTCAATTGATATCAATCGTTTACGTATATACAATTTTGTGGTAATACCGATATTTTAGAGGGGGTTATTAACGATAACTCCATTTCCAAAAATTATGTACCTTTGTATGGGGCTAAGGTAAATTTTGGATGGATTGTTATGATTTTGAATATAATTGTTATGATTTTGATCATCAAATTATCTTTGATAGTTTCTGATAAAACTACTCAAGAATTCGGAAAAAACTTATTCTTAGAAGAAGTCTGAAATTTTATCCCATAACTTTGTGAACCGAATGCTGATTATCAATACCAAACTGCATGGGACAGTAACGAATATTTTCGGCTGATTTCTTTTGCTTTGTTTTAACAGACAGACTTACAGATAGACGGACATAGCTAAATCGACTTTCATAAGGATCTGAAATATAAATACTTTGGTGGACAACAGATGAATATTTCTGCAAAATCTAAAAAGCCCTACAATGAGCAATCAAAACGTAGATTTTGATTTTTTGTAACTTATGGCTTTTTGGATTTCATATGACGATATATAAACCTTTAGCAGCGCTGATGGTGGTGAATGGTATAAAAAAGGATACAATTTATAAAATTATCTTTTGCTGATATAGTTATAGTTGGTGTTATTGTTGCTTTTTTCACCACCCAAATGAAATCAAGTTGAAACGATTAAAATAAATACAAAAACGTTTCGTAATAAACTGCACTTTTCGCACTCGAAAATGTACTAGAATGAATACTCTGTAGAATTACTTAATAAATAAAATAAAATGCTATTTCATAGTTTATTAAATTTATTTGATTTATTTTGTTAATTTTTTTTATTTATTTATTTATATAGTATGAATACTAAATTATTCTTTATTTTATTTTGTTTTATTTAATTAATATCTGAGTATTTGTAATACCAGCCATGTCATCGAATAATTTATTACAAAATGAACAAATATTTATATAAAAAAGAAAATGGAATAAATATGGATGTATGAATGTATATGTATGTATATTACACGCCACAAATAAAGTTTGTAGTAAATAAAATTGTAATTTATTTAAAGGGATTTTGTTTAATTTTTTTATTATTATTATTTATTATTATTTTTTTAATACTATTTTGTAACTGTTTATTCTGGTTGTTCTTTTGACTAGAGATTTGTTTATAGTTTAAAATAAACATTGTTTTTTTTTTTTTTTGTTATTAAGAAAAATTATCAATTTGTTAATATTTATCATAATTTATTAAAAGTTATTGTGAATGTTTTTTGTTAATAAATGTTTTAATAAATTACGATGCGATTGTATTCAGTTTTCATTCATGTTTTTTATTTGAAATAACATGAGTTTATGGTAAAATATTAAATGTAGATTATTGTTATAAAATATTTTTAATTTATTAAAAATATACATTTAAACATACTTAACTTGACTTAATTGTAATTTCATTTATTATTTATATGTAGAACTTTTTCATAATAAACACCAACTGTTGTTCAGTTGGATTTTTTTAACTAGATAAAAACTTTATGAACAGTGGAACAGAAATTTTTAATAATTTTTGAAAATTAAATCGTTTTGTTATTAAATTTTTAGCATAAAATATCTGTATTTCAATAAGTGTTTAACAAATATGAAGTGTAATTCCTCTAAAACTAAAATTGTATTCAAAATTCATCTAATAAACCTATCACTCACACAAAAAGTATCGCAGAATTGCAACCAACTTCTGTTAGCCTTGATTTCAATTCCTAAGGTAGTTTCAATCTAGATGTTTTACCGAATCGATTCACTTAAGAAAAAGTTGTGAGAGAATCTGAATCTCCCTGTATAATCCAGTCGAAGGAATTACTAATTTCCCTTATAAAATCTAGTAGATTGCGAGGGTTGAGTACCGCAATTTCCACCAGTTCGTAATAGAACCTATTACTCAGCCCTTTCAATCTGAGATTCTGTTTTCTAAGAGAGTGGCAAATTAAGTACTCAATCGTCTCTAGTTCCTCTTCATCTTGACATATACTGCAATATATGGAGCAATGCCACTTATTGAGCAATGCCCTGATAAAAATCCGTAGACTGCACCTATCCAGTCCTATAAGTAAATTGGTAGCCCTCACATCAAGTGTTGGCCATAAGACCTTTGATACTTTGTAATCCTTTCTACTATTCCAGTATTGGTTGATGATGTCACAGATTCTCTCGAAATTCAACTTATAATCTTGATAAATGTGGAGTTTCACACCTCTATCCCTTTCATTCATTAAGGTTCGAACCTAGTCTAGCTAGTTCGTCCGCAACGAACCAAATAAAATCTAGTAGACTGCGAGGATTGAGTCCCGCAATTTCCACCAGTTCGTCATAGAACCTATTACACAGGCCGTTCAATCTGAGATTCTGTTTTCTAGGACAGTGTCAAATTAAGTGATCAAACGCATATCGTTCCTCTGCATCTTTGCCTATCCTGCAATATATGAAGGATATTACTGTGCCACTTATTGACAAGGACCCTAATTGAGCAATGCCCTATCGTTCCTCTGCGACTTTGCCTATCCTGCAATATATGCAGAATATTACTGTCCCACTTATTGACAAGGACCTTAATTGAGCATTGCCCTGATAAAATCCCTCTCAGAATCCTTAGACTGCTCTTATCCAGTCCTATAAGTAAATTGATAGCCTTCACATCAAGTGTTGACAATAAGGCCTTTGATATTTTGTAATCCTTTCTACTATTCCAGTACTGGTTGAAATTCAACCTATAATCTTGATAAAAGAGAGGTTTCACACCTCTATTCATATCATCTATGTTAAGGTTCGAACCTAGTCTAGCTAGATCGCCCGCAACGCACCCAACAAAGTCTAATCGTGAACAGTCTCATAATCGCAGCTTTACTATCGACATGAATTGTCATAACCGTCCCTTAATCGATATAATTTCATGTGTTGTTGTTGTAACAGCTTAAACTGCACAATTTTTAATTCAGGGGTTCTGTATTTAGGTCAAAGTCAAGAAATTGGGCTACTTCTACAGGGTTAGTCCATAAATCCATTGAGCTAAGTAAAGTATGGTGGAGGTGGGCGACATCCATTATCGATATAACCTGAAACCGCGGTATTGATGGCATCTCTATGAATTGACTGAAAGGACCTTAGTTTCCTCGTGTAGGTGGTGCTCCGAGGTTATTTGCAGGCAGCCCGTTACAGTCCGTAGGGTAGTATTTTATTAGCTTTGAATATTTCTCCACTGGATATCACTCAGCGAAGGATACCACACTGGAGCCGCATAATTAATAACTGACCGACCAGTTATTTTATAGGTATAGGATTCTTTGCCATTTTCCCAAGTGCTGCCGACTAACGCTTTGAGGACCTTGTTTCTACTTCGCAATCTGTGAATAATTGCTGTGGCATATAATTTCGTATCAGTTGCTTCCCAGATCGCTACGATCTCTGCTTGGAAGACACTACATTCGTCAGTGACGTTTTTATAGGTACATCAGTGATAAAGATACCGGCATCCCTGCCGACCGATCCGTAAAAACTGCTCACTCCTCAAGCGGTCTATCAGATACAAAACAATCATTCCTAGTTAGATATTGCTTAAAGGTGTTACCCCGAAGTCTAGAATCGTATTTCTATGATCTCTACTTTCGCAAGAGAAGTTACCTTGATCAAGTAGACTTACTTCAAAGGTTTGACTAACAAAGACTCATAGAGTCTTAAAAGATTCCTAGCCGCCATATCCGCAATTTGTGGAGTTCTGCAAATGGCACCAGTAACGTACACCTTTGAGCTTTATAGAGCATCATCCTATAACTGTCCTTTCTCAAAGCCATCCATCAGACAATACAACTACAAGTCAGGATAGGCCTAACAACCGATGTATAAATCTAATTTAACATATCGTGTGATTGTCGCGGGATGGTTTGTCCAACTTAGACTCGTAGGGTCCTAGTATCAACGGAATAGTTTATAAACATCTGCTATGCCTACCTCCCACTAACAATGGACTTTACTGATATGTATATTAAGAGAATATTTCAAATCTGTAGACATTTATACGAAATTATTAATATTTAAATTATAAACAAACCTACTGTTCATGTTTGTGATAAAAAAAAAACCAAATGTTAGCACTTTTCAAAATTGCTAGTAAGTTTAGTAGAAAACCGCACAACATTTGGTTTTAAATTTCAGTGTCTTTTTATTATATTTGTGTGGATTGATTAATGAAATTTTATTATTTTTTTCACTTTTTTTCTGAATTAATTAAGCTTATCAGTTATATATCAAATACATTATAGTTATATACAAATATAAATTAA